TAACGAATTTTTATTTGAAATTACTCTGCATGAAGAGAGCAATTCAAAATCGGATGACAGCAACTTTGAAGAAACTGAACCTATAAATCGTTTAACTGTAGGAAAACTAGAAGAAGGATTCGCATGTTCTAGCAGCTTAGAAAGACCAATCCAGTTTATAAATGAATTAGAAAACAACTTTCACTTTATAAGGTGTGCTGCAAATATCCGTTAAAAACCAATAAACAATCGCAAACCCCTTTCTTTTGCAAACAAGAGGACCACCAAACAAACAAATTTCTTACTATGCCAATGTCACCAAATAGTTCTTAAATCACTATTAAGCAGCGTTAACATTATTTACTTTCAAAAATATTTTTCCCTTGTAATAAGACCAATCTTTAAATTACAAATATTTGAAGTAACTTTAATAACTTTTTGTTAATTTAAAAAATGGTTGGACTTTCAAAACAGCGAAAATTTAAACAGCAAAACTTTGTTGATGCATTTGTCGAAATCTAGGAACGTAACCCCATATTTTGTATGTAGTCTGTAACGGTTACAGAAGGAATTTGGGACTAGGTGGTCGACATGAGTAGGAGCGGCACGCTTAGAGTTCCGGCTCTGGCTCGTCGGCAATTGGGTGGTGTTCTTTACCTCCTACGTCATGTATGTCCCATGCTTATTATTTATTTTAAATAAGCGTGCATAAGACGAGAAAACAAAACCACACACATGATCAGAACTCAGATGTTGGCGAGTCTGAATACGCCCTCCCTACCTTGGTCATTACTAAAAGCCACACACAGAACAAAAAAAAAAGAATATTAACAATGACCCCTTTGCTGGAAATAAAAAAACTTACGAAGGCATTGGGTTTGGCGTGAAATCAAAAAAATGATAAATTAGTAACACATTATAATTTATTTAAATGGGAATAAAAATGAGAGTGTTAAAGGAAAACATAAAACAAATTGTTCATCGATACTATTACTAACAAATTCAATAAATCGAAAAATAATATAAGAGAAAAAAAATTACAATATCTAAAAACTGAACCTTTTAAACTATCAATAAATATTGCTCGAAGAAAAAAATAAATACATTAAATAGCCGTTCAGTGGCGTAGAGAAAAAAAAATAAACTTTCTTTAGTGAGTATTGCGCTTCCAATGACCCATTTTTTGAAATCAAATGCAAATAAAAGAATATATAAACAGCTGTCTACTTACGGCTGGGCTGCTGATCCCACGCAGAAAGCGCTTTCCGTCTGGAACGAGCGTAGCTGTAAAAAAAAGACACTGCGCTGGAATAAGAGCGCGCAAACAAAAAAAAACCCGCGGGAAGCAAATTAAAGCGCACAAGCGCGAGAGAGAACCAATAATCGCTCTCACGTTCTCACTAAAAAAAATTGGTGCCTTCCGAATTACGGAATAAGGCAACAAGAAAAAAAATTCAAAAAAATAAAACAGTGGCTTAACACTTGAAACCGTGAATATTAAAAGTACATCAAATAAAATTTTGCCACTGATTTGGACCAATTAACATATGAAAAAAAACTAGCCTAACCTTAAAAATACTAATACGCCGGCATACGGCTTCTTCGGCGCTTGCGCGCCACTGCAATATTACCCGAATTTATTCGGGATTTTTACTTTTTTTTTCCCGGGCACTAAACCGACACCAACAAAAAAAAATTAAGAAAAAAAAATGGGTAACACCTCCGGGCGAGTTCCGATACTTATTTAAGCGTTTGGTTAGCCGATTTAAAAAGGGTCGCGCCCCCGCCGACGTTTGGTCGCTATAGCCGCCTTTTCTACACTCCCAAATTAAAGTAGAAGCTGCCGGGTGTTGAGTGGACGGGAAAGCTAGCCTGGAAGTTGCTCTCTTCTTTTTTTCCTGCCGTTTATTCTCCCTCTAGGCACTGCGGCCGACCGAGTGGAAGTCCCAGGCAAGGTTTGTTGTTGCAGACAGCTGATCAAGGCCCTGCAAATTAATTTAATGCCTATCAGACTGCCTTGCCTAAACACTTGTTGCAAAAAAAAAAAATCACGCAATCTGCAACTTACCGTGGTCTGATACTTCTTCCGCAAATATTTTAGCGGCTTTAATGGTTGTACCAAAGCGGTTAAACAGAACAATTACACTCTTTTGAATTCAATTTGGGAACTTTACTTTTTTCCCCACAAAAGGCACAAGCATTTGCTTTCTTGCCAGCGGAAGAAAATTTTACTTTTTTTTTTTTTATTTTATTTCGACAAGTTGAACTTAACACTTCATACACTTCTGGCTTGATTGACGTTCGGAATAAAAAAAGAGCGAACGTACTACCGCTGGCGCGAACGAAAGCTTTTAACATAGCGTCAGTGAAAGGCGCCAATTTCTTCCTTTTGTTGACGTTTGCTGCTGCTATTTCACTTTCACCTTGTACCTGTTAAAGGCTACTGTTTAGCTTGACCAACAGATGGCGAGTCGTTAAATTTTAAAAATAATTAAATTTAACGTACAGGCTACAAGTCACGCTACAAGTCCATGTCTCATTTAACACGACGTTGTCTAGGAACACAACTCCCGTGGTGAGCGAGAGTTAGGTGTGTTTCGATTTCATCGTGACTACAATCCAAACTTTAGATTCTAAAGTCAATCAACAGAATTTCAAAGTGTTTTTTAGAATATGTATTCAGCTTTAAAATCTGCTGTACATAATGGGTTATTACTATCATCATTTAAGTCACCTTTTTAGAGAATTGGTTTATGAATACAACGTTGGCATTTTTTTCATAACAGAGCCATATTTCCTTTGACAATGAAATAAATATCAGAAATTAGAAATTAAATGTACATATGTATGTATGTTATGTGTGCTACAATCGGTTAAATGGCCAGCTTCTTACTTAAAAAGGAAACATTTTAATATAATGTATTTATTGATATTACGTTTAACAATTGCATCTCTCGCTAAAATCATGCAACAAGCTCACATATTTATATTTACATATACTATATATGTATGTACGTAAATCCATTTCTATCGGTTTTCAAAAACTGTCACTTGATACAACTAGTTGTAGCCTCACATCGCACCTCTCCCACATCATGTTGAAAGAGAAAACCTTGCTGATATTCTATGCACAGCTCTCTGATAGGCTGTGAGCGCACTAAGTTGGCGACAGCATAGAACAAATAAGCATAACAAGTTGGCGCAATCAACTGCTTTACTGTATGTAAATACGTCACACTAGACCCTGTTATACTTAGAAAGTTGTGGAGAAAATACGTACTTTTGGACACACACACATTTGTCAAATTATTTTGTAGATATTTTGTACAGCTACAAATTAGCTAGATTTTATTTCACACGGATCAGATCAGATCAGAAAACAAAAAAGTGAAGAAGCTTTACAAGTACAATAAAATCTTATAACGAATCCGATTCGATTTGGGAATTTGATTTTCACTCCAGCCAGATATGCCGATTCAATTAACTTCAGAAGAACTGGCAAATAATAAAATAATATAAAAACAAGAAAGGAATGCTAAAGTCGAGCAGGCTCAACTCTTAAATACCCTGTACCACCCCATAAAAAAGTATTTAAATTAATTAATTAATTTAATTTAAATTATTAACTAAATTAATTTAATTAATTAACTAAATTAAATATAAAATATTCCATGCATGCATACATACATTTACATTTACATCAGAATCGTGCCTTATGCGTGTTTGTGTACTTGTACATATGTATGTATGTGTGCATTGGGCCTGGTTATATGGCTATAACTTTCTTTCCGATCATTCTATCATAATGAAACTTGGTATACGGATATATAATGACTAACCTAATGTGACTACCAAATTTTAGTTCAAAATTCCAAGAATTACGGGAGTTATAGAAAATCGGTAATAGGGGGGGAGTGGGGGGGTGGATCAGAAAAAATGAACAAACTCGTCCTTTCTCGGTCTCAGGAGAATCTGTTTACCAAGTTTGGTTGTTCTAGCTCTTATACTTTCGGAGATCCTTGCGTTCATACAGACAGACAGACAGACAGACGGACAGACGGTCAGACGGACAGACGGACATGGCTATATCGACTCGGCTTGTCATGCTGATCAAGAATATATATACTTTGTGGGGTCTACCAAGCCTCCTTCTGTGTGTTCCATGTGCACTCGCACAAAACTAATATACCCTTGTACCCTTTGGGTACAGGGTATAATAACAAATGAAATCCTGATTGAATTAAATTTGGCAACGCTCCTTAATTAGATAAATTAAATTAAGTTATTAGATGTCTAAATAGAAAGAAGCAAGACTATAAAACTTCATTAAGTAAACTCAAATTTTTGACGAGTCGTTGCTATGACTGGCAGTTATACCATAATATGAATCGGCTCATGATATGTCAAAAATACATTCATTTATCAAAGGTAAAATGCGACCACAATAAACCATTCAGTTTTCCCTATAAGCAAGGAAAAGCAAAAGCGCTTTGACATAATTTTAAAAGCTTGTGCCAGAAACGCCTATTGACGGACCTGCGCACTACGTGTACGTTATCGTCTTAATAGAGCACAATGAGCGATACGACAATTCACAAAGCGGGCAATTCTCTACCACCATGATACAATCATAGACGGTGTGCTAATGCGCAGGTTCGTTTTTCGGTACTCTCTTCGAAATGACGTCACAATAAGCTCGGACTGGCAAGTCTGTTTTGTTTACAGTGTTAAGAAGAGAGCTTTTTGTGACGTATGTATTTGCGCTGTGAGATTAAAAATGTCGCTGCCTTTAATTATTGTATCAGTGTCTAGAGCTTGTTTCCCTAGCTTTAAGCAACAATCAGTTGCTCATCGACTGTGCTTCTGGTGAGTTCGAATCGACGGACTGGTGTCCATCGTTGTCGCCGGCTGTCAATAACTAACTACTCATGAGAGCCCAATTGTTTAGCGGCCGGCTCGATGATCTTTGCACCGCCCCGTGGGGCAATCGCTTGTTTATTTTCGCACACTTATCCAACCTGCTTTACAGCCGCTTCGCTGCCCACCCCGGCACCCATGAATGAAGATGTCACTAAAATATTACTATGATCTGCTTTCACAGCCATCGCGTGCTCTGCACATAATCTTCCGGCTCAGCGGGCTGCAGTTCGAGGAGTGTCCGGTTGCGCTCCGCAACGGTAAGTGCTATTACAATATCTGTTCTAGTTCTTTTCTGTTCTTATCTTATGCGACTTTTGCACTGTGCCAGGTGAGCACTTGACCGATGAGTTCAAACAAAACATAAACCGCTTCCAGCGCGTGCCATGCATCAACGATAATGGCTACAAATTGGCAGAAAGCGTGGCCATATTGAGGTGAGTGAGACAATCCAATGAAATATCCAAGCGAGACTCAGCAACTCCTAATACAAATCTGCAGTACGGTTTATTTATTGAAACACGAAGAATCCATTATACAAGCACTAAACACTATTTACTATTTACATACATACGTGTAGCTGATGACTACACACACATACATACTCGTACAAGTTTGTACTTGTAGCAGGGTATTTAATTATCTTTAAGAAATCATTTTAAATACGTACACAATGCACTGGACCACAATGAACTTCCATTAGCTGTGTCTGGTCAAAAGAAAAGGGCAATTTTTATACCCTGTACCCGTAGGGTAAAAAGGGTATATGTATTAGGTTTGTGCAAAGTATGTAACATGCAGAAGGAAGCATCTCCGCCCCCATAAAGAATACATATATATTCTGAATCAGCATGACGAGAGAAATCGATCTAGACATGTCCGTCCGTCCGTCTGTCCGTCTGGATGAACGCAAGGATCTCAGAAACTATAAAAGTTGGAATTACCAAAGTTGGTATCCAGATTTTCCAAGGTCCGAGAAAGGACGAGTTTGTTTAATTTTTTGGAAATTTCACCCCCTTCCCCCGCTACAGAATTTCGTCAATACCGTCTACATTTCAAAAGCTACCTTAACCAAACTTTGCACACATAATTTATACATACTTGTAATAATCTACTTTTGTAATTTCATCTGTACTTTTCAAATTTAATCCAAATCGGTTAATTCTAAGAAAAGTTATTAGCGAAACAACTTTAACAAGCTGAAGCATCAAGTTCGCTCTTCTTCTTCTGCTAGAGGTGCATATACCTGAGTGTTGTTGGTAGCATCCCCTCTTGTTCATTTTTTCTTTGTGAAAAGTATTTATTTACTCATCAATATTCATCATTTTGTCCCCATTTTGTCAAAGTAGTCCCCGTCAGCTATAATGCACCTTCAAAAAGATCTCGTATGAGCGAGTTATGGTACGGCCGATTGGGAGGATGTCTGCCTATTTACAAACTCAATTTTTCTTTGTATACTCTGAACCTGAAAGCTACTTACAAGAATATATTAGGTTTGTGCAAAGTGAAAAATGTAGCACAGAAGAAAGCGTGGTCTGTCCGTCTGTCCGTATGAACACCTAGATCTCAGAGACTATAGGAGCTAGAGCCACAAATTTTTGCTTCCAGGTGCCCTATGTAAGAACAAAGCACAGGTGTATTTCGAAACTTTCCTGCTTTCTCCCACTCGTTCGCTATCAGTGATTTTTCATAACTCCCGTAATTCCTAGAATTTAAACTCAAAATCGGCAAGTGGCTTCACTACACTAAGCCCTGTCTATGGTGGTTCAGGGGTGGTAGAAGAAGAAACACGCAGTTGGGGTGGCATTACTGGCCCAAAGTGGTTTCCCAGGTGGTTTGCTTAGGCTTAATCGTTTTGGATGCAATTGAAAAAGACACTGGAGTATTGCACAAAAATTACTTATGCAGAGTAAGGCTTAAGTAGCTTTGAAACTATAGATATTGAAAAACACTGAAACGTAGCAAAAATTGAAAAAAATAATCAATTTAGATGCTAAAGTCCAGGCGATTATATACACAGACGAACCGGACATTATCGACTTGTTGCGTCGTACTGTCGAAAAATATATGACTGCATATAGTTTGTGGGGTCTGCCAAGCCTCTTTCTGGGTGTTGCATACTATGTACATTAGTACTAACTAGTATACCCTTTTGCCCTTTGGGTAGAGGGTATAAATATTGTCGCATACGAAATGATCCATGAAACGATTTGACTCAAAATGTTTATTATTATTTTTTTAATGAAATTTTTCTCAAAAATATGTAGTACTATTCGGAAAAATCAATATTTGAACATGTTCTATATGTCTATATATCTGCATAAATGAGTTTATATAGAATTCGAACATTTCGATGAAGATTTAATGCCCGTCCTGCATAATCGAAACAAACTAAGACAACAGGTGCTTTGAAATAGCCTTAAAAACACCCCGAAGCTATTAGGGACTAGTTGTAGACTTGAAGGCTGGATACATGCCTAATGCAATCATGCTGTACCATGGACTGGCCTTTTAAATTTTTACGAAACACGCCAACACCTTAATACAAAAGTGTTTTAATACCTTTACTGTTTAGAGAAATCGAATTAACTGATTGGTGCTCATCAATCATATAATCATGACTGCTTTGAGCCAACTTCAATTATTAGGCGTAGTTTATTAGCCATCCAGATATACACCCCTCCAGTCGCCTCCTCCCTTTTTGGTTGATTCTCGTCGTGTCTATATTGTACAATCCTTAAATCGGGATTAATGCATATCCTCGTTTAAAAGCTAATCGTTCCTTTGACTGTACTCGTATATATTTAATTCAATAGTCCAGATAGCCTTCGGGAGTATATTCGTGTGCCGCGCTGCAAAATTTCGGCAAGATGGATTTAGAACTGCAGGCGAAGTGGTGATGAAAGCAGATAGACGGACAGAAATATATGTAGAAATAATGGTTTTAAGAGTCTGACCAAATCAAATGATTTTTTTATATTCAACATTACGATAATTTAGCATTATTTATTTTGTTCGCCTGCGCCTTTAGATACCTGAGTGCGAAGGGCAAAGTCCCTGAGCACTTGTACCCAAAGTATTTTGTGGATCAGGCGCGTGTAGACGAGTTCCTAGAATGGCAGCATATCACACTGCGTGTAACCTGCGCTATGTATTTTCGAACCATCTGGCTGGACCCGCTTCTAACAGGTCGGTCGCCTAGCGCGTCGAAAATTGAAACATTGCGTCTACATATGGAGCGCACTCTGGACATTGTGGAGGAGGTCTGGCTGGCACAGTCGGAATTTCTCACGGGGCCAACTTTGACGGTAGCCGATGTGTTTGCTGCTTGCGAAATCGAACAGACGCGTATGTATTGTACTTTATTCATATATATACAGGCATATAAATATATACATATATGATAATTGCACTTTTCTCTACAGGCATGGCTGACTATGATGTGCGGATCAAGTATCCCAAAATACGCGCCTGGCTGAAGCGTGTGCGGGCCGCCTGCAATCCGCATTATGATGTGGCGCATCAATTTGTTTATAAAATTTCTGGGACCGGGCCACAGGCAAAGCTTTAAGTGCGAATTATATATAATTAAGGCCTTCAATCGGCCTAGATTATATGATGTCAGATGATCGACCTGCAATAAATAATGCAGCATTTTCTAAACATTTACATATGCTCGTATTTTCATTTATTGTATCGTCATTATATATGTAGCTTTAAAAAAAAAGTTCACATTTATTTGGAAAAAATACAATTTGTAAAAATAACTACTTAGAACTAAAAAAAAAATTAATAATATATATATATAGCAACGTTACGCGCTTTTTCTTTTCCTTTCAATTTGCAACAAGATTTTTGCACGGGTTATACGATTTTTTCTTTGCAATAACAAACAAATATTTTAAAAACGGGATATTGGAGAAAATAAAAAAAAATAATAAACAAATCGAAAATAAATTGTATGTACAACAAATTTCTATACAATATGCACAATTTCTACACATATAGTATATGTACATGCTACATAAGACTACAAGCCTTCAATATATACACACATATAAATCAGTATATATCGGTATATATGTATATATAGGCATTCAATACATATATGCACATATGTATATACATATGTAGGCGATTTAGCATTTAACTTAAAAAGGTAGTAAGAAATATACAGCTACACAGATATAAACGTTAATAAGTGCTTGGATGTTTTCATCTGATTCTCTTTGAAATTTATGTAGGTAGGGGTCAATACTTTTGCAATATAGTATTATTACTTGTTAGGGTATTAAAAATAATGCTTTCATATATTATGTTTTATCTTCTCTTGCCCACTCTCGATTAATTTGCGCGTGTTCGGCATACATATTTAAGTGGGTTTATATATATACGTGTGTGTATAAATATCTATGTATAGGTATATATATGTATAAATATATATATATATATTGTGTGTGTGTGTGTGTGTGTGTTGCCTGCAATCCCAGTAAAGCAGCAACTCAGATAAGCCTTCCCCCCAGGCAGCAACAACAATGCTCAAGTGATGAAACTTTTGCACCACTGTGCAGCATTGCATCATTATTTCCTTGAAGCACCACAAGCACCGCTTCAGCTGATAGAAGTGTGTGTGTGTGTGTGTGTGTGTAGATATATTTTAGATACATATGTATATTCAAAATGATTTTAAGGCACAAAATAATGTTGGCTGCCTATTGATTTCAAGAAACTAAACTATTGGAAAGGCCAGAATTTGTGTTTGCTGTTGTTGTTGTTGTTGCCAGGAGGTGCAATAACTGAGCAGCATTGCAGGCATCTATGCATGCATGTATGTATATAGCATATTTGTATGTATATACGTATATATATATCGATATATGTATGCGTGGATGTGCTATATGTTTTCATTCAATATTGCGCGTAAATGCATATGCTTGTTTATACAATTTAAATGTTTATACATATTACAAATATTATATTGGGGGACATTTTACAAAATATACACACACTCCCTCTCTCTCTCTCTCTCTCTCTCACTATTCCTCCCTATCTCTCTTTCTCCTCTCTATCCACCTATAATTTTTATCACCTATCTCTCTCTCTCTCTCTCTCTCTTTCGCTTTCCTCGCGTTTAAATACATACATACATATATGTATATACAGATAAACTTTGTGTACCCATTGCCTTGGTAATGTGCACTCGGACCATCTATAATTTAGCTTGCTGCCCATATATGTGTGTGTGTGTGTGTGTTTTAATGCATAAATATATACTTTGTGCTAATACTACGTTTGTTGTAAATATGTTGCAGCTAGCCAGCCCACGAGCTGGCGGCTGAAGGTTGTGGTTTGGGTTGTGGTGGTTATGGTTCTACAATTGTTATCTGTCGCAATTTCTTCCTTCCAGTTTGCATCCAACCGCAACTGAACTTTTAACATAATAACTGCAAAAAGAAATAAATACATATGTAGATAGATCAGTCAGTGTTATAGCAAAGATACATATATGCATAATATACACAAGCACAGCTGTTGACAACTAATTAACAACGATGGTGTCGGTTCAGGATTTCATCATTTTCCCCCCCTTTTTTTAAGTGCTCCATAAATTGTTTATATAATCTAAATTTCAGACCATGGACTTAATAATCTACTGTGGTTTGTTATTCAAATTTAAAACTTAAATATTTTTTACCAACGATTTCTTGCCCATATCTCGGATTTGACCGAGACAACTAACTAATAGCGTTTATTTGATTAGCAAAATAAAAATAATAATAAAAAATTCAATTATTATATACATATTTGATGGAAAAGCCTTTCTGCTTTAATACAGCTGTACATCGGCGTTTCATGGACATTATAAGGCGTCGGCATCTTTCTACAGGTATTCCATGCTGTGCTTTCTTAATTTTTGGGAATAACATGTCCAAATTTGTTGTATTCTGTTAGGCGAACACTTTTTTAACGACGCGTCGTTCCATAAATGTTCAATGGGATTTCGACCAGGACTGCACGAAGGACATTCAAGAACCGTGTCTAAAAATTGTTTCGATGGACGCGCAGCATGTTTAGGGTCCTGATCTTACTTATAGGCCCAAGCAGCTGTCATTTTTTATTCGCCTATGCTATCAAGACATCCCTCAATATATCGACTTACTTCTCTTACTTGTATGTCACAAACTTTCATTGCGGAATATGAGACCAACTCCAACTTCCATGAGAAACACTCCCAAAACCTTATTTTTCTCGACCATACTTAACGACAGTTGACACACTCTTTGGGTTAAGTTTATTAATTTTTGGCTTGTCAATTTATGTCAATTTGTTTCATCAGTCCGCATCAGTCAATTTTTTAAGCATTCAATCAATCATGGGGTTTTAGCGTCGTCGTCACTTGAGTTCTAGGCGTTCTTAAATAGTTGTCAACAGCTCTATATAGCTCTATATACCGATAGCTCTAGTTCATGGCCGTACTCACCTTTTACTTAATTATTCGGGAAGTCGTTCGATTTAGTATCGCGCTCGATTAATGTTTTTAATGCGTATGCCCACCTCCAGAACATGATCGCCGGACCCTGCGCTGCCAGCCGCATTCCCGCCCGGTGGTGTTACAATGGCGCCACCGCCACCACCACCCCCTACCACAGCACTACTCGTGCTGCTGCTGCTGCTGGCACTGGAACAACTGTTGCCGTTGCTGCCATCGCTTTGCGGCGAGTTATTGTTGTTGCCGGTGTTGCTGCTGCTGCTACTATTGGGGCTACCGGTCGCATTATCTGTGGGTGCTGCCGCGGCTGATCCAGAGCTGGGCATGCGACGCAGCACAGTCGTCGTCGTAGTTGTGGTTGTCGTAGTTTCTGCCGCCGCAGCGCCTGCAGAGCTGCCCAACTTAAGCAGCTGCTGCTGATGATGGCGATTATGATGATTGTAATTGATTGCCGCCAATTCATGGCCACTGGTATTGGCCGAATAATCATGCGGTCCGCCCACTGTGTGGCGTCGCTTGATGGAACGATTCTGTTTGTTTTGTATTTGCCGCTTCTTGGTCAAATTCATGTCAGTCTTTTCGTCTTTGGTCAACGCAGTGGTCGGACCGCCCGTTGACGCAGATGCTGACGTGGAGGCTAAGGCATTGTTGCCGCCTCCTCCGTTCATGTGTCGCGTCGAATAGTTGCGACAGTTGAAGGAAGCCGAGCGAAAGAGTCGATGGTCGCGTCGCTTTTTATTGTAGCGCTCGAGAAAAACCGACGGCGATGCGGGCATCAGTTTCTCTTTGGGATCACTGGTTGTAGAGCCCTCGGAATCGTCCTCTGAGGCAGCACAGCTCCGTTCCGCATAGGCCATCGAAGAGGTATAGCGCAAGTTCTTGCTCGTGTAGAGGCTGCGTTGCGATGAGCTCGCTGCACCAGTAGGCGTGCCCGCCACAGTTGTGGACCCACTCGACACCGGCGAAGCGGCTGTACTGCTGGTGTTTGTTGTCGCCGTGCCCTTGGCGGCAGCGGTAGAGGTTGCGGCCGCACTGCCTGGAGTTGTTGCCTGGCTCTGCGGATGGTGCATGGGCACTGTGGCCGAATGCTGCAGCTTGTGCGCTTTTACCAAACTGGACGGCAGAGCCACAACAGCGGCTACCGCTTGCTTCAGCTCCTTTTCACTTGACTTGGAGTTGACGGCATTGCCAATAGTGTTGGTCGCTGTACAGGAGCGACTCAGTATCAACGAATGGGGCGCATCCAATGGGCAGAAGTTGTGGAACAGGCGCTCCGGCGACTCATCGGCATAGGGAATGTTCTCGGAGTGCAAATGCAACGGTTGGCCAAGTGTGTGACGCCGATTCTTTGGAAATTCAGGGGAGCCGTTCTCGTCGTTGGACTCAGAGCCGCTGCGCAAATTACGCAGCTTGCTGTCCAGCGTGTCGGTGATGGTAGTCAGCGACATGGAACCTGGATAAAATATTTGAATTATTAGTTCGTGATAAGCACCAATAGGTAATCCTTTTAAATAATAATAAAACAAATAATTCAAATGTGTTCAATATGTTCAAGTGGATACATTGACACTCCCTTTTTTCGCACAGACTTACTATACCCTCCCTTTGGATACAAAGTATTAAAATTTCGACATATAACATAAAATACCAACAACTGACATCTTATTATTATTTTTCTTAACATGCCTAACAATCTTATTATTATTATTATTATTATTATTATTATTATTATTATTATTATTATTGTATCTTTACATGCCTAAGAGATTGATTATTATTTTCTTTTCATTTATATTTATACTTTTATTCTTCAGTGCCCAGAAATGCTTTCTCAACAATTACAAGTGGAAATATCGGCTAACACTAAAAGGTTGTGGCACACTGATACTCTGCAGATGTCTCTCCATCAAGTTCCTCGGTTCTAATAGAAATCTCTCAGCAGGGCGTCTACCTGCTACGGTACAATAATCACCACAAGCTTGGTCCGTCCATGAAGTTGAAACTAAACTTGATATACATATGCTTGTTTGCCCAAAGAATTTAACAGTGCTCCCCAACTCATTCAATTCAATTGAAGAACGTATGGTTACGGACTTGAAATAAAAATAAACTTCGCTTCAATCAGCTTGGACCCTTGTCTCATGCTCAGACAGCAGCTGCCATTGCTGCTTTGACTAAACTCTGTACTGAACAATAATAGATAATGGTTATGTACTAGATAGATGCAGGACAAGTGTAATAATATTTTATATATTTATTGTATGCCACCTTGGGACAGAACGCCCTAGCTTTAAATAGTGCAATCTGAATAAGATTTAATCGCAAAAATAACGTGTTAAAAAACAAATTTTACTGGAGAATATTTCCATTTGCAGAATTTGTGTAATTTTTTATAGATTTGTAAGAAATTTCCATTATGGGGAAGTCCAATATTTTCCGTAATACATTTCTATACAACTTACCAGTATCGCTTAGCCGGCTGCTCGAGTCATCATCTGTCAGCAATATGGATATATCAACGCTGCTGCGTTGTTGCTGTGGCTCCTTGGCCATACTGCCGGTTGAGTCGACGCTTCCCGAGTCCTTTTCGTCCAGACTCGACTTGCGCGACTGTGAACCGCGGGAGCTGGGAAAACCTGGACTGCGTTTTTTGACGCTGCCCTCATTGCTGTTGCTGCTCGTCGTCCTGGTCGTGCTGAGGCTGGAGGCCACAGCAAGGGTCTTGGTCGAGCTTGTGGTCTTGCAGCTGCTGCTGTGGGATTGGGCCGTGGAGCTGCTGCTCGTGCTCGTTGTGCTGCTGGCCGGGACCTTGGTGTAGTCCAGAGACTGAAAGTGAACACGCATGGTTAGACTAAAATCGGAAATGCTGTGAACAGCTTTGCGCTGCTGACGACGCTGCTGCTGTATTTGTTGTTGCGAAGCAGCTGATGATGATGACAAGGACGATGAGGTTAGCAACTGTTTGTTGCGTGTGCAAGGGATGTTGCTATTGCTATTGGTGTTGGTGCGGGTGGTGGTTGTGGTGGTGGTGGTGTTGGTGGTGATGATACAAGTTGGTGGTGATGCTCTTACCCCAACGCTCTCGCCCGAGTAGGTGTCGGAGCTGACGGCACTTCGTTTTCCAGGCGCACGTCTTCGCAGCTGCGGAATAAAGCGTGAAGTTCGCGTCTCACGCTCTGTGAAACGCTCGATCTTCGAAAGATTGTGCAGCAGCATGCTAGTCTGGTCCTCCTGTGTTTGCTGGAGGGTGGCATTGAGGCCCGCACCACCGCTAGCTTCTGTTCCACCAGCCGCATTGCCGCTCAATTCGGAAAGGTCTGGTATATTTCCATTCTCGAAAAAGTAGTCATACTGTGGATTAAATTAATAAAATGATTGAAGATTAATACAGCGTTAGATTGGGGTGTATACTATTTTATTTACTGCAGTTAACATATAAATACTAGTTAATTGCTAACTCAAATTTGAATTGGAGCTATAATTTGTACGGCTTTCAAGTCCCTGTATGTACAGGAGGAGGGTATACTAGTTAGACCAGAGTAAAAAAAAAACCCCAAGGAGGTAGGACGAGCCCCACAAAGTATAAATTCTCGATCAGTATATGAAGTCGAATCTACACAGCCAGGTCAGTGTGTCCGTCTATCTGTACGAACGAAAGGATCTCCGAAAGTATAAGAGCTAGCGTCAGGAACGGTATGTTAGTAAGCAGGCTCATTTAAGTCTAAATAGGGCAAATTTCTGGGGTTTCCATGTGCCCCCACTTTCATGTATATCGAAAAGTATGATAGCTATAATCTTCAAATTTAGCATAATCTAGAAAGGGCCGTTTAAATTTTTTCAATGCTTCCCGAAACTTCTTCGCTAAAGAAATTTAGGTATAACTCATGTTATTCCTCAACTGCAAGTTTAGCTAATTATGCCAAGATGAAGAGTAATTGCACATCTTTAGAGGAAGTCATAGCCAGCAACGTCATGCTCTGCCAGCAAGTACTGCTGATGTTGTTGTGATTCAGGCGCGTACCAAAAACTGGCACACTCACATTTTGAATGTAAGTTTATATAAACTTTTAAATAATAGTTTTGAAAAAAATTAATTTATATTATTTATTGTATTACATGCTAGGGTACATCAGTCCTGTTAAAGTGTAGATTCTTAAAACATTGTGCCTAAAATCTGCCGGCTACTTTATGAGGCTAACCTATAAAGCATCTTTTAGAAACAAACTACTACTACTAGTCTGTGAAATGCTTGGACATTGATCGAATTCGTAGCTTTCTCCAAACTACGACGCTCTATTTACTCTTCTAAAAGAGTAATAATTGTCCGATTTGCAAATTATTCGAATTAGACAATCTATTAGCTAACAGAATTTTCAACTTGAGGATCAGTAAAAAGACTTTTGTTTGATTTAATTTCGAATTCAAACAACACAAGATGAAATGAAATAGAAGCGGCAACAAAAAACAATCACTGCGTCACAATGACTCAAAGAAAATGATGATGTGCATATCATTAAGCGATTCGGCTAACTGTGGATCGTATATCATTGTATTTGAATAAACACACTTCACAAAAGCTCTGCGAATACTTCGCTTCAAAACTATTTACTATTTTGTATTCTAAAGCTTTTTCTTTCAGAAGCTTCCCATCTCGGAATAGTGTTGTTCATTAGATATGTACTATATTTCGAGTCAGTATCAATGACTGAGCTCAGTCAAATGTGATTAATGTGTCTACACAGTATTATCATCAGCCGTGCTCTGAAAATGATGAACTTCTTTTGCGGACACATGTTGAGCAAAGCAAACATTTTTGTCAGTTCTAACATACTAGTATATGCAAATCGGGAAAAGACTTGCAAGACAAATTTATTCTGTTCGCGTCATTGTATGCTAGTTAAGTGGGCTTTAAAAATAAAAATGCAAAATACAGTGAGAACCCTTCGTTTTATATCACGACTTGATCTCGATCTTACTTGAACATTGTGGCTTAATTTAATTCATATCTTACAAAGAAGGGAAAGTCACTCAGCTGCTATACAGATTTGCACATGATCTTTTGTTAATTTTACGGCATAAGTTTAACTGCGTAGCTTCGTAGTCAATGATCCGTTAGCTAGTTAAAAGAACTTAACCATAGCACACCCTGTTCTAAGCTGGTAGAAATGGTATCAAATGTTTTGCATAATAATGGATTCTTTGGGTTCCCAGCTTAAATGCTATAAAGGAGAAATGTAGGGTTAGTGTTTCTAACACTATAGAAGACTATAATTTCATTTCCAAAGTGTAAATTTAAATCGATTGTGTATTTTTAATACAATTTTTATCGACACCTGCGTCTGGTGATGCGCGGCCATGGCACCCTATAAATACTCTAAACGAAGAAGCTAATCTTCAGTTTGCGAATAGAGCTCGCAAAATGCGCTTAACATTAGCTTTGTGCTTATTACTAGCACTGTTCTGCGGCCTGGCCGTAGCCGGTGCGGGTAAAGGCGTAGACAATGGAGTAGAGAGTGCGGCTGACAACACTCAAAAGGTCGCCGAGAACGATGCAGTCAACTTTAATGATTGGAGGGCACTATACTCAAGCAGTGGTGGCAGCAGTAACACCAATAGAAGCCTGGTTTTAACTATTCCTAATTGGAGCGATTTCTTTTCGCAAAAGCACGAAAGTTCTACGCCGCGACCCAGCAGAAGGCCTAGCAAACCGCATGATGATGATGAGCCGGGACATGATCATCGGCCAGGTCATGGCCACGGACCAGGCTGGGGACCAGGACCAGGTTGGGGACCAGGACCGGGTTGGGGTCCCGGACCAGGTTGGGGACCAGGACCGGGCTGGGGACCAGGATCCGGTTGGGGGCCAGGACCAGGCTGGGGTCCAGGCCCAGGCTGGGGTCCCGGTCGTCCGCCTCACGGAAGTCCCGGTGGTCCGCCTCACGGAAGTCCCGGTGGTCCTGGGGGTCCCGGCGGACCCGGAGGTCCCGGAGGACCCGGTGGTCCCGGTGGTCCCGGAGGTCCTGGCAATCCCGGTGGTCCAGGCACTCCCGGTGGTCCAGGCACTCCCGGTGGTCCAGGCACTCCCGGTGGTCCAGGTGGTCCTGGGGGCCCTGGTAATCCCGGTGGCCCCGGAGGTCCACCGTATTGGGGTCCCGGAGGTCCACCATACTGGGGTCCCGGAGGTCCACCATACTGGGGTCCCGTAGGTCCACCATACTGGGGCCCAGGAGGGCCGCCAAACTGGGGACGATCTCCAGCGTGGGGACCTCCTTGGGCACCACCATATGGTTGGTTGCCACCCCGCCGAAGTATTGAAGACAACAAAAAGCGCATTGGAATAATTATTACAGACAACACTGTAAATGAAGATGCTTTGGATGAGGATAATGTTGATACCCCTGGTCCTCATGATCACCATCGCCCCCCTCCATATTACTTGCCAAATCCATATTACGGATATTACCCGGGATACCATCAAGGCCAACCTGGATCGAATAGGCCAACGCCATCACCTAAACCTACGCCTTCGCCACCTCCTTACCGACCGAAACCGAGGCCTGACATCGACAATGGTGTCGACGAGGAGGACGATGACAGACCTACTACAATCTGCAAGAAGATCCTTCCGCTTGGTATAATATGCTATTAAACGAGGTTCTACAACTGAATGTAATTTGATGAAATGGATATCTAAATCAACACTTAATTGTCTAACTACACAAGTTCGAATGAAAATTAAAAAAAAACAGTTGTCAAAAGATATCATGCATATGTCTGTTGTTAATACCCATAACAAAGAAATTCGTTTGATAGAAAACGTTCAGGTTCTAGAATATCTCTTAATGTATACAGGAAATGTTTAAGCTTTCCTATAACATTATTATTCCGCACCCCATTTACCTGCGTTACGAGAAGCTCTACGATGCGGCACTGATGCTTCATATCCTTGACAGCCGTCTCTAGCGTATCGTTCGGTGTGCGTATAATAGACGGTCCAAATATGATGGCCAGATTCTTTGGTTCCATGCGATTTACTTCGCAATTATCGCTGACACGACACAAGTGCCTGATTAGATGTTTCATGGTTTCATATGGATGTCGCGGCAGTGTGTCTACAATATCCTTGAGCACCACTATGCGTGTCATGCCAGTTTTCTTATCGGCCTCGATAAAATTGATGTAGAAGCTGGCCGGCATCAGAGCATCGGGCAGACTGCGTATGAAAAGTTTAAGCAAACTGCTCACTACATTCACATCGTCCCATCGCTCGTCTGTAGCACAGCTCTCGAACTGAAAGTCCTTGGTATTGACCAGTTCAGATAGCTCTGAGATTGCCGCCTTATTTCCAGGAATGCGGTAAATGCCAACAACGCCAAGGCCTTTGGTTTCTACAATATTGGTGCATACTTCCACAAGGTGAGGTACGAAAGCATTGAGTTTTGACTGAAAATGTTAATACGAGTTTTGGAATAATCACGAAGATATAACATTATATTAAGCTGTAATACATACCATGGGACATGCGCGCAATGGCACTCCAATAGAGCCGTATGATTTAGCCGAACAAGCCGAGGGTGAGCCCAGATCATGAGCAGACAGGCCATTGCCACTGCCACCGCTGCTCCGTCCGCCATCGCCACCTCGTCGAAATAACAAATCCTTCCAGTTCTTCGATTTCGGAGACCCTAAGTCCTTGTCTGGCACATGCTTATGCGAGCTCGACTTGCGCGTCTTCATAACCGGCGATATGGAATCCGCTGCTATGCTACTGGCGTGCGCCTCAGTGCCGCCGGAATGTGAACTCAGAGGGGAACTGTCTGCGACAACAGCTGCTGGTCCACTACTAGACACATCATCCAAGTAGCTAGAGGTGGCTGCAGTTTTTTGAGGTTCTGCCAATTGTTTGCCCGATGTTTGTGTTGTAGGTTCCTGTATTAAACAAGGTATTCAATATAAAATCTAATCGAATCGAATGAGTTTACTCACATTATCTTCATAATTGAGGCTGTTCTTCCACTGCAGCAGCCCAAAGAGCCGTTTCATTTCATTGCTGCTCTTGGTTTTGAACAAAATTTCGGTGTAGGGACCAACTGGAGTGTGCTGCGGTTGGTGCTCGATACTGCTGCTGCCCGATGAGTTTGTGAGCTTTTCATGGGCATCTTCCAGGCTAAGCTCGTTGCCAAGCGTGGCCAGTTGTGCGTTTGGCTTTGACTGCATACGGAATACATATTTCTTTTTGTCGACCGACTCATCATAGAACTTAAAATTTCTAATATCAAGCTCGATCACCTGTCAATAAAGCGATTAACAATTAAATATATATATATGCATTCTCCCCAATCATAAATAACTATTTGTGAATAGCAAGCGACTTATCCAACGAACTACTACTTATATATTTATAGCTTATAGTAAGTGAACTTTTTAAATAGGTGTCATAAGATCTTTGTTATTGCAAGTGATCAGATTTTAGCAAATGTATTTTTGAAAAATAGTTTTTAGATAAAAAAAAACTATTAACTTGTTATTTTGGCGGTTTTAAGCAATAGATAATGGGTAGTCCGTGTTATAAATAAATGGGGATTACGAATCACAAAATGATAGTATTTCAATAATTTCTTGCATCGTACATTGTGCTCTGATTTTCCATGACGCCCAGAACAGATACGCAGCAGATCGCCCTTAATCTCCAGCTTCACTTGACGCCATGAGCGGAATTCGGACATGCGCTGTAAGATACAAATATCATTAGAGTGAAGTTTATGTTTAAATAGGCATTATTGGGACTTACCTTGCCATTGATGCACGATGACTTAATCTCAATTTCGGTCTCAAATGCTTCCAACTCATTGGGCACATACTTGCCATTGAGTTCCGCATCGATGTGTATGCTGCAGATGTCATGGAAATACTAGATTACTTAAGATCCAATAGTTGTACCCTGAGTCTCTGTAACTCACCTGCCCCGCATGTCGCTGTTCATAGAAGCTCGTCGACTTCCTGGGGCTGCGCAGGCCGCGCCAAGCGAGCTCAAGCGCACATCCTCCAGACCGTTGGGTGTTTCGATGAACTCATGACCGGCACCGCCAACTATATCGTAGGTGGGATCTGGATGCTCCTCCACCAGCGCTTTGCTTGACTTATGTGATTCAACGGTGACGAATTGTTTGTCCCCAAGCGGTACAGCTGCGCTGCCGGCGATTGCTGCACTCGATTCGCCATGATAGTCTATCTCGTTATTTGTGGCACGCAAGTATGAGATGCGACGCATAGGCTTGCTCTCATCGAATGAGGCAGAGGCGAGCGGTTTGTAGCGTCGCACAACGGTCCCGCCTGTAGCGATCTCACTGGCGGCCACAATGGCAGCAGCTGTAAGGAAATAATTTATAGTTAATTAGTTGCAGTTAATAGTCAAGGTACAGTAGAATATGATCATAATGAACGAGACTGTATGAAACTAATTGCAAAATGATTGAAATGGTAAAGAAATCGGGTAAAAATCGATTGAGAACAGGAAAAATCAATTCATTTGATTTTGTTTGTGAATTGCAAAAAAAAAAAGGTGAAGATAGGATTTAATTTGTTGTAACTAATTAAAAAAATGCAAGCAAACGTTTCGCGTTTCGTCTTGATCCAGTACCAAATAATAGGCTTCGCAGAGCGAAGCTTCTTGTGAAGTTTCGTGGCGTTTGAATAAACAGAATATATTTCGGTTTTTCTAATTTTTCAAAAAGAATTTTGGTTTTCCCTATAAATTACTCCATTAATGGATTTTTTTGTTTCAATATGAAAATGATGAATTCAGCTTACAGCGGACCAATAAGAATATCTATTAGTGCATAAAAACAATCAAGTATATATATATAAAATACAATTTTGAACGGAAGGCGGCCTTAAGTTTACAGTTTTAGTGGCTCAACCGAGTACTAAATACTTAGTGAAACGATTTTGCAATGAAATTTCAAAAACACATGCAATCCCGGATCAAGATTTTCTTTAAAAACATTTGACAAAATCTATGTACATTTGCCCGCCAATTTTGTACAAGATTTCATTAACTTATTACAAAACAAAGTTTATCGATAAGCACTATATTTCTACCTGACCAACAATTTGTGTATTGGATGGCAAAACATACCGCTGCTTTCGGCAATATCGGCCAACTTGGCGACTGTGTGCAAGGAGGAGCTGCTTGGGTGAAGGCTTTGTTTTTGGTCCGGTGGCGAAACAGCAGCAAATTCTGTCAGAGAAATAAAAAATATATATAGGACTGGCGGTTGGATCACGACTCGTCATTGTTACACTACTTACTGTTGAGCATTGGTTCGATTGTGGCATTGGCCACAGTTGCCTTGTGTACCTCCATGCGGCTGCTGGTCTGGCCATCCACGGTGCTGCTGCCGCCGTGTTGCTGGTATTTTGTTTGATGTTGCTGCTGCTGCATCTGATGCAATGGATGGTGCTGCAGGGAGTCGTAGAGTACGCCTGGTTTTTTGACCAACATGCCCGAAGAATCCAATGCACTGGTGTTGATGGAGAGCGGCTTAAATGGATCAAAACCTTTGGACATGTGCGAGACCAGTTTCCGCTCAAAACTGCAAAAAATTTGTTGAAATTCAAATTCGAAATGAAAGTTGGATGTTGGATGTTGGCTAAAATTCGCTCTACATACACTTTGTTTGTAACTCCCGTTTCCTGCAGCGTCTCAAAGTAGTCCAAGTCCTTGACATACTTGGCATTGTTGTTGGCCACGTTGACGGCCACTTGTCGCTGCTGCTGCTGCTGCTGTTGCTGTTGTGCTGACTGCGATTGGCTGGAAGTGGTGCGCATACCAATTTTACTGCCTGCATAGCAATTGTACATATCACAGCCGACGGCTACGGGTTGTTGTTGTTGTTGCTGCTGCTGCAGCTGCTGCAGCTGTGGTTGCTGTTGTTGCTGCTGCTTGTGGATTAAGACGTTGTGGCGTATCTGCTGCGGCGGCAAACGCGCCCCACCGCCACTCGCTGCTGATACTGCTCCTGCTGCAATGCTTCCCGCCGGCGGCGGCGTGTGCGACGGAAAGAAATGTTGTTGCTGCTGCTGCGCCGCCGACTGCGTGGCGTTGCCATTCGACGGTGTCGGCAATGGCGATTTGAGAAACTCCTCCTTCTGTTTTATGGATTCGCGCAGACGTATCATGAGGTCGCTGTTGTCCCCTCCGTTTCCGCCATTGCCACCGTTGTTTCCTGCAGCGGCCACATAGAGCGCATGACTGAGCGCAGCCGCCGATTTTGGCTGGCGGGCGTTAGGTAACGGCAACACAATACCCGTCGCCGTTCCTCCCGCTACTGTTGTGCCCGGTAATACTGTTAGATTTGGCGGCTGATTGCCACTGCAAAAAAGAAAAAGGAAGCACACTCAATATTCTATTCATTTCGGAAATATTCAATTGCATATTGATTTTAAGATGATAATAATAGCCAATATATGTATAAGTTTATGACTTCTTAATTAACCAGATATATCCCACCCTGTACCTGTACCACAAAAGGTTAAAGGGTGTACTAGAAAGTTTAAACAGCTGGCCCCATATAAGCACATATGCCACCTTGTCCCCTTGTCCGTCTGTATGAACAACGAGAACTTTTGCAACAATATAGCTAGGGATGCCAAACTAGGTATGTAGGCTTATCCTATCCATACTTTTTTAGTACTTTAATTTGGCTCTCCGTATGACTACCTTTTATACCCTGTACCCGTAGAGTTTGTGCAAAGTATCAGCATGAGGCGTCTGTCTGGATGAACGCCTAGATTTCAGAGATGGCTAGGCCCACATTCACCAAAGTTGGTATATAGACTCTCCTTATATCTAGTTTATTTTATATTTTCGAATTTTGCCCCCCTCCGCGGGCTACAGAATTTCATCAATACTTCGCCATATTTCGAAAGCTCAATAAACCAAACTCGTAATCTATATACAATTATCTACTTTGCTTTCCAATTTCATCAAATCAGTCACGAAAAATTATTAGCAAGACAATTTTATTTCAGAACTACGCTTCCTACAAAATGTTCTGTTTGTTTAGATATCGTAAAGAAATATGTCATTTATGAGTTACTATAACATCTAGTTCGCTATAAAAATGAGTTACTTGTGTGTCGTTCCCACAGAACCTGTTGTTGGACTGGGAGCATGAAAATAGCTAAACTATCTGTAGATAAACAGCCATATTGCCTAACTTTAAATTATTGTCTTTAATTGTATACTGTAGTGTGTGTGTTTGTGTTTAAGTCTACGGTACTGCCATTAAATAAAAACGCTGACCCAAACAGAAATAAATTAAAATAAAAGCAGTAGCAGTTGCGTTAATTAATGCGCGGGTCCCTCACAGAGGCTGCTCTATTAGGTTTGTTGTTGGCAAAGCGCCAAAGCGTGACGCCCTTTTTGTTTGACAAATGATTGAGGTGCTTCCAATGAAAGCGGCCATCAGCAACATCTACGGCCAACAACACCGGCAACAAAACAAAAGTCCAATGACAACAAAAACAACACAGTGGTCATGCCAAACGAAACCGCGACAATGTGTGCAGGTTTAAAAAACAACTGAACGATAATAGACAATAGACCGATACAGATAGAATGAATGGGGGCTTGATAACTTGATAATGTTGTTTAAAACCAAAATGGGGTGCAACGTTCTGTACTCGTACTTATTATGTTACTGACTGCTGCAGCACAAAAAGTGTCCCAATGTGAAAACAAATGCACGCCCATGTATACATACTCTTGTATGTGTATGTATCTGTGTCCATACATACATACATACATATCTGAGCTGCCAAGAACTTCACACGACCAGTTCGCAAACTCACGAGCTACACCTGTTGGAACGTGCCTCAAACAATGGGTAATGCTCTATTGGACTTAAAAAAAAGAAAGAAAGAAAAAGTTTAAATAAAGAGAGCATATGGGTGCCAATGGAAAGTGATGCTGAAAATGCCAGGACAGCAGCCCATGCTCCCCTCTAATGCGAAGGCTCCTAAATATTTCAAACATACTACAAGGTGTGTTCCAAAGTAAACAGGACTTTAAAAAAAAACAGAACAAATGTTTTTTTTCGGCAAAATCAATTTATTTTATTCAAAATAGTCTCCTTCTGCTTCAATACAGCTTTTTGCACGACCCAAAAGCATGTCGAACGAGTGTTTTAGCTCGTTGGCCGGTATGGCCGCCAGTATGCCGGTGCAAGCCTTTTGAATGGCCTCTACGTCTGCATAACGCTTTCCTTTCATGGGCAAATGCATTTTTCCGAAAAGGTAGAAGTCGCACCTTGCCATATCAGGTGAATACGGCGAGTGGTTAATGGCTAAAATGTGATTTTTGGTCAAATAATCGGTCACAAGCGTCGATCGATGAGATGGATTCTGAGCAATTTTTGGTCGTCAGTCAATTTGTGCGGAACAAACCGTGCACACACCTTTCGTAAGCCCAAATGTTCGGTCAAAATGCGATAAATCGATGTTTTGGAGACGTTCAATTCCATTTCCATCAATTTCAATGATGATTTCGGCTGATTTTTGATGAATTCACGCACAGTTTCGATGGAATTTTCGGTGATCACGAATTTTGATTGGCCCACATGTTGATCGTCATTTATGTCCTCACGACCTCATTGAAAACGTTGAGACCACTCGTGCACTCTGCTACGGGATAGGCAATCATCGCCATAAACTTGTTCCATCAATTGAAACGTTTCGGTAAAAGTTTTACCAATTTTAAAACAAAATTTAATGTTGGCTCTTTGTTCGAAGCTCATTTTCGCACCGATAACACAAACATACTGACACTTAAAACGCAATAACTTCACTTCCAATCGATGAAATGTCATGAAATTCTCACTAGACAATTGATAAAGATAGCAGATTCTAACGCACCAGTCGACATATAGATAGCGCCACCAGGGGGCGCTAGATTCAAAAAGTCCTGTTTACTTTGGAAAGCACCTTGTATATACGAATATATAAGTGGGAGCAAGTTTTGAATATGAGTCACGCGAAATGCTGCAAAACTATGCCCAATGCTTGATTAACTAATTAACTTATTTGTTTCACAAAATGTGGGTGGCCCAGATAAGCCTAGAGATATAGGCCCTGATAAATATCAAAATATCAACAATGACGTATGAATTTGTTAAATGGACTGGACATTGTCACACAGCCAATTACGTAAGAGTAGTTATAGTTAGTATAAAACCATTATAATATGATAAGTGGTTATACAAAATGTATAACTATTGCCAATAAGCATCATTAGTTTCATGAATCAACTCTCTGATAAATCGGACATGAAACAATCGACAGAGGTAGAGACAAATGCATTAAAAAGTTAATGTACTACAAAGCTCACTAATTCACGATTCTTACGAAATATTTAAAGATCGTAAATACTGATAAGGAAAAACAAATTTGGATGTAAATATGCATTTGTTGGTGCTGCGAGTTACAAAATAAAGTTGACAGTAATCGACATATGTATTTGAAAAACGAAATCTGGTTCTTTAATTCCACTAAGGAAAATTTTCTTAACTACTATATAATTAAGCTACTAATTAAGCACAGTGAAGGAGGCAGTATGACAAGACGAGAAAGGATAGGTTTATGTTTTTCCTATTCCACAACTATTGGGGTTTTCAATAGCTTCTCTAATTCTTGGAGTGTCCTGCTGTTAAGTTTCATTACGATATTTCCTGGTTATCTACTTTTTATCTATTTTTTTAATTTTATTAAATTAAATTTAACATTTAATTCTTGTTTTTTTTTAGGTTTATACATACTTATAATAATATAAATAAAAACTGTAAAAACACTCTTTATATCTAATTAAGTAACCTGAACTCTTTATTGTTAACTAATTATAGAAACAAACAAATTTATGAGCCAATTTTTGTGAAGAAATGAAATGAAAAAAGAAATAATATAAATGTTGTAAGGACACATCACATTTCAAACACATTGTTGGAATACAGAAGAAGGCTTCCAGTTTTGTATGTCCCTACCCGCCCATGCCTCCACCACAGCTCTCCAAGCAGACTTATAATAAATTAGTAGAGAACATACTATATAGTATTCGTAATACGAACCAAAGCAAGAATGTTTACGACAGCAAATCCGATTGGAATAAAACGGATCTGTTCTCAATGCTGCACGAGCTCATGTGCACGACGACCGCATCGACTATTTAACAAAGTCGCTATTTGGTTTTATTTGGCCTCGGCACATCAAAATATGATTGCCGCTGGAATATTATTAAATTACGCATTTTAAAGTCCGGCCGAAAATCGAATCGAAAACGGAATTTCTGTGGAAACATTTTGAGTTTGGCTTCGAAAATGGAAAAACAGTTTTTTCACATAGGATCACAAATAACAGTGCTCCTTGCCGGCTCATTCTAGTCCTTTTATTCAAAACTGTTGAAGGATTTCTTCATCAAGTCTCTTTAGGACCGGCCCTAAATTATCTAAGTATCTAAGTTGATTATAAAGCCCCTCTTACGCCTACCATTCCATTCCAATCAAGCGAAGATTTGAAAACAACTTTGAAATGGAAATTGAGTTTAAACTACCATTTAGTTAAAAGAACTACTAATAACTCAATTAAATACTTATATTGCCATTTATCGCTTAATCTGATTACAGAACTACACTCCCTGTATAAGTGCATGTAGATATGTATGTAAATAGGACTAAGGTTCGCTTATTGATTAGTTTACTTGCGCCTGCCTGTCACAGGCAACAGGCAAATGATTGAAAACCCATAGTGGTCGAAGCGACTTCGTACAGATGATGGGCACAAATTAAGTTACGGGCAAAAATAATTAAATTGCAGCGAGAAGCACGGGCAATGCGCTTCAAAGGATGCCACATGCAGCACTAATGTCAAGAGCAAGGTTCTTTTATCCGGGCACCCGAATACCCATCCACCCAGCAGAGACCAGAGACCGACAGCAAAGCGGCTAGGCAACCAACACGGACAACATACATAAGTAGAGATATGTATTTGTAGCATACACCTACATGCTACATACACGTACATCTACCATACTAGTATTTGCATATGCATTTCCTATTTTCCAATACGAGTCAACAGCAGCAACAGGAGCGGGAATAACAAGGGAAAACAGTCGTCAAGGCATGTCGCCAGCAGTTCATATTACACACATAGATGCGAATGGATGTATGTGCATATATAGATGAGTGGACTTGTGTCTATGTTTTCACATTCGCATTTCACACACACACACACACACACACACACACACACACACACACACACACACACACACACACACACACACACACACACACACACACACACACATCCGCATTTAGGGTT